TATATATATATATATATATATTTTTTTTTTTTTTTTTTTTTTTTTTATTTTTTATTTTAAAGAATGTAACACAAACATGTCCATACAAACTAAAACACATTGTTAATGGACATTTTAAAAAGTTAAAAAAAAAGGTCCTTGAGATAGATAAAGAAAGGATTAATAATAAGCTTCTCATGAGGTGGTTGAGTTGATGGAGTAGGTGAGCACGGAGGCCTTTAGTCACGAGTTGGATTCCCCTTACCAACACTTTATCGGTCGAGCCTGTCACATCGAGTTTGCTTAGTGCGGTTTACCTGACTGACTTGATTTGCAGGCTATTGCGTCAACTCGAGGGTATACACAGTGCTTACTTTGAGGGTAGCAACTGCAGGTTCTTCCGTCATAAAAAAAAAGAAAGGATTAATAACATGTTTGCCAAGCAAGGTTTTTTAAGTGTTTATTAATACATTAGATGGTGTTTGGTAGGGATTAAAATTCGATTTTTTAGTAAATTATCATAGAAGTTTGTAAAATGTGTAGTTAAAAAGTTGTAAGTCTCATTAAAAATGTGATTAATATTAATTGTTTGATTTTAACTTAAATTAAAATAAAATTTTAATCCAAACCAAACATGCACTTAAAATATATTTTTAGCCAAATCAAAATTTTTTTTTCCACACATTTTGTAGATTTATAATAATTACTCAGTTAATTAGTCATATCATATTCCATCTAGTATCACCTAGATTTATGACAAAATTTTATGAATAATTTTGTTCATCTAGAGTTTAAGTCCCGTTTGGTCCCCATTAAATTACATTCTATTTTTCGCTCTCATATTTTTAACCACAAAATTTTTAATAAAATAATATTATACGTAAATTAAAAATTTTTACTCCTTTTTCAACCACTCAATTTTCAAAAAAAGCATTATTCCTTTCATTTTTATTACAAAAATGAGGGCAAACGGGCTAAACGTTTATTTACCAATAAACGTCCTGTTTGGGAGGGATTTTGAAAATTAATTTTTTGACCGTTAGAATAAAAAATAGGGTCCACTTGTGAGAGAATAAATTAAAAATTACGTCTGAAATAGTAAAATAACAGTTAAAAATTTATTTTTATGGATAAAAAATCCCTCCCAAATAAGCTGAAAATTGAAATGTGTTTTTACACATTGGGCAATGCGATGCGATTCTGGGGTTACTTTCACTTTTCTCTTTACACTCCTAGATTTAGGGTGGAATCTAAAATGCGGCAAACGCTCCTTTACGCTCCTCCGCCAATTATAATTAATTTTGAAATAAAGGCGCCAATTTCGCTCTATACTCCCGCGCCATTCCCTACTGCCGCCCCCTCTCTTTATTTCTCACCTCGCCCCATCCACCCCATCCCAAGCCACCCATCCCCGTACTCAAGCTGCCTATACATACAGTAATATATATGTACACACACATATATATAAGCAATAAGCCAGATTACTGGTGGTGCATTATTTGTTTGGTTGTGTAAAGTACAAAACGAAAATGCACCGCCACCAACCCCACCCAGCCACTCCCATCACCGACGCCGACGCTGCTTTCCTAATAAAGCGTGGCAAGAAGCGGGGAAATTACTCTTGTGGCAAATGTGGGTTGCCCAAAAAGGGGCATAATTGTCGGTTTACTGAAAACGATAAAGACTTCAGCCCCGCTTCCACACCCGCCGCCGCCGCCTCCTCCACCACCGTTACCGACTCGGCGCCTGTGGAGGAGTCAGTAGCTTTGATGTCACCTCGATCGGTAGTTCGTCCTCCTCCTCCTACGAGGCTCCGGCGAGCTCTATCGTTTGAGGATATTAGTGTTGATGACTCTGTGGTGGAGGATGTCAGGAACAAAATTGAACCGGAAATGGAGTTGAGTGTTGATGTTTCAGGGTCGGGGATGTTACCCGGGAGTTGTTTGTGGGAGGTGCTAAGGAGGCTGCCGCCGGCTGGATTATTGTCGGCGGCGAGAGTTTGTAAAGGGTGGTGTGATATTACTAGGAGGTTTTGGCGAGCGGCTGAGGAGATCCGGCTTAGGGTTCCGTCCAGTGCTCAGATTGGGTTTTTTGGATCCATGTTGCAGAAGTGTCCTGGACTTGTAAGACTGTCTCTTAAGATGGAGAGGTTAGAGTTAATCTAAGCATACGATCAGATCTAGGGTTTTATTGAATGGATCGCCTTAAAACTCAGCCATCTACTCAGTAATTTACTGTTTTATTGAAGAATTTAATTAATTACACTTATTATTGAAGATTCAATGTAAATGTTTTTGACAAGGTAGTTTATCCAAGAATGCTGACACAAATTGCATAATCAAATGTTCAATCTATATATGGGATTTGAAAATTGGACTTTAAAATAAAATGCACTGATAATAAATAAAGAAAAAATTGATTGAACATTTGCCAGGAGAAATAAAGTACGGATCTTTTTTCACTTTTGCTTTTGGTGTTACAGTGATGTGGATGCAACGATCCTGGCCTGCATTGCTTTCTCCTGTCCTAATCTGCAGTCGTTGGAGATTTTTATGTCCGGTAACTCTTCCAATCGGATCACTGGGTATTAACTTTAAACTTTCCAACTGTGATAAATACTTTTGTTTATGTTTTAACCTGACATGTCCATTAGCTATAGATTTTTTGTTATGAAATTCAGAAACATCTCACTTTGCCACAAATTTCATTATATTTGATTGGTGAAGCATATTAGTTAGTGAATGGTGTAAAATTTGTACGTCTTAGTTAACAGATAAATTCCTTTTTGGGAGATCATTATGTACATGTCAGGCCCCTTTTGGTACAAATTAAAATTCAGATTTTAATTTAAATCAAATTCAACAATTAATTTTAACCAAACATTTTATATGCCCTGTTTGGGAGCGATTTTATTACCCAAAAAATTGATTTTTTGACCGTTATTTCACTATTCCAGCCGTCATATTTGACTTCTTCTCTCACAAGTGGACCCCACTTTTCTTCTAACGGTCAAAAAATCATTTCTGAAAATCACTTCCAAACAGGCTCATAGGGCCCACATCTTTTCATCTACATATTTTAACAACTTTTACCAAAATTTATTAAAGATCTGATTTTAATTCCCC